AACTGAGTCATCATATCTTTGTGTTATTATCATTTTGCATTGTTCAATTTTTTCTTGTTGATTAACATGTCATATAAAATGTTAGAACATCTATCATGTTGTTGTACTGATAAGGGTTATATTAGTATGTTTTATCTTGTCCTTGTATTACTATGTAGAGATCAGTGTCTTGACATAGGACATTAGTTATCTGTACACCCGAATTTCACTTATCAAAGTAATAAAATTTATAAGTTTGTATCCACACAGATTGAGCTATTTTAACAGGTAAAATTGTGTGTTATTGAAAAGTAAAACTTAAGGGGTTTACTTGGGAGTTATATCGAAAATACTTAAAAATATTGGTAAAATATCAAATGGAGAAGGCGACCAGGTCTTATTAGAATCCCCTAAATTTTACTATTGAATAATGTGCTTATTTGTCTAAAGTTGATTCTACATAATTACGATGAATTAACAAAGCCGTTTTACCTAATTCCTTAGTGTATATCTCAATTATTTAAACTACAATTCCCCGATCCCTTAGGCGAGTTGGATAGTAAAATTATGATATGTTTGTTAATTCGTTAGCCACAACTAACAATTTTTTATCCCTAAATCAATTATATAGTTGAACATTTACTCTAGTTAAGGTTTATAATGTTAAGGCCAGTGATTCCTATAAATCTATGTTCAATTTGTGAATTCATCTACGCATAAAAGGCATTACATAAAAGAGTAACTTAATAGAAACTATAAATTCAACCTATGCAAATAATACAAAACAAGCCATATCGTTCAACAAATCAATAATAGACTCATCTCTTAAGACCTAATGGGAAGTGATTTAGCTAATCATAGTGACATGAATACAAAGAGTTTAGAGAAATAATACTTGAAACTTAAGGTTGAATGTGGTCTTCAATGGCTGAAAACCTTCTTCCATAAACACTTGAATTTCTTCTCTTATCAAAACCTTGCTCCAAAATTTCTTACCCCTTTCCCCCTTTTATAGAAGTCAAAACACATTAGAAAAGGCACGAATCACGCACATGATCCAGTTAATCACGCACACAAATTCATCACACAATCAACATCGCACACACAATACGTACACACAAATTCTTCAATGGTTATGCCTGTTGTCGTGCACACAATTTTTCTAGAAAGCTTTTTTCCTTTTTGCTTGCTGATTTTTCATATTTTCATCTTTGTTCATTTTTCTTCATTTATTCAATTCTTTTTATTTCTTGGTCTAACTTAATCAAAATAAACTAAAAATCATAAAAAAAACATATACACATGCTTATAAAAATTACATGATGACAAAGTATCACCGTGTCTCTTTCTAAGCCTATTTCTATACATTATGATAACAAGAGTACTATTTAAATTACTCATAACCCGACCTTTCATGAATGCACCAAACACATTTAGATTAATTGTCACCTTGCCCACCATCATCTTCAACAAAACACTATTACATTGCAATTTGTTTCTTCCTTCTTGTAGATTGTTGACTTGTAACACATTTCATTAAATGTTTTTGATTCTTGATTGACAAACTCTTGATTCTTTCTATTAATGCATCTTGAGTTTGAGGGAGAATATTAGATAAAACATAATATTAAAGGTAGTTTAATCTTTTGATACTTAACTATTTATACTGTTCTTTTGTTTTATATTGGAATACTTTTGTCATTCCTAATAAAACTCTAGTCACATATTCTCTTTTTCTACGAGTCTTCAATGCTATCAATATTCCAACCATCAAACGAACCCTTAGTTTTTTTAATCTTAATTTATTTCATAACTTTAGTCATTTAAATTTTTTACTTCAACCTTTCAAACATTATTTAAAAAAAATCATGTCACGGTGAAATACAAATTGTCCAAGTTTTTGTCTAAATAAAATCATAACGATAGAGGAATTTTTGCTTGCAATGATTATAAGAAGAAATAGTCTTAAATTTTTTTTAAATGATCCAATTAGAGAGGATTCAAGTGATAAACATTTTAGATCTTTAATATCAAATTAAATAAAAATAAATGAGGCATTTCCTCAGTCTAAATTAATTAGTTTTTTCCCAATGAAAAACCCATTAAATTTTCTAGTGCATATTTGGATAAAGTACGTGTAGCTATATTACCCGTTCTTATAACGTGATTGCAATAAACATATGATAAAAATATAGCCATGGCCCATCATTCTCTGACGAGAAGGCCCAAGGATCCATTATAGACATTGTGTTCCTTTAGATTTTTTCTCGGCCCGTTCACATCAACATCCATATAAATCATTCATAAGCATAATTCTCGAGAAAACCCTAATTCCATTTGACTCCAAGGGCTTTCGGCGCCGCCGAATCCTTGACACAAAATTTCATCCACGATGTCATCCCCATCAACTAACCATGAACATTCCTTATTATACAACCAACGTTCATTTCTTATGAATAAGGTGCATCATATTGATTATGGAGAAACCTTGTTAAGATTGGGATAGATCTAATTGAACAAAGCTTAGAAGTCCTTCAGATTCAATATCGATTTACGAGCACAAATGATCGCAGGTATTGTTCTTTACTAAAAAAATGATTGATTTCGAGTCTACCATATACAATCAATAGTTGTGAATGTTAACGATGTTGGTGATTTGTTACCCTTTTTAATGAAATTGACAAGTCATGGGTTAAAATTGTTTTTATTATTTTCAAAATGAATCCCTGAAGAAGGGGTAATCAATATTTTTATGGTCCAAATTTATTCCATAAACATGTGATTTATTGTTTCAGCAAAAAAAAAATATAGGGCATAAAAGAAGACATGTAATTCATTTTGTTCTTAGATTGTGTATCACTGACATAAATCTATTGACAATTTTACATAATATGTAGATTTAATTTCTAGGAACATTTAATTTATGTATCTTTCTCCAAATATTGTATTACAATTCTTCTCTCTATATATCTCTTCTTATTTTATTTCTATCCACTTCATAAATGTGTGGTACTTTACCTTAACTTTGTAAGTTTTGTCCTTTTCAGCTATGTACACAAACAAGTCAAACAAATTATCTATTTAGACGATAAGGTTAAGGATTTGCGACACTTAAAGGGGAAATCGTTTCTTATCGATACAATCTTTAATTTAATATGTTTGTTTTTCATTTGGAGTTTATGAAATCATTTTATTAGACAAATTATTGGTTTCAGACTCAATACATTCTTTTAGTCACCATCTTTATAATTGACTATATACAAACTACATTCGTAAAACACAACTTTCGCGAGAAAACACCATTCATAGGGAACTTTTAAGCACATGCCTCCCAACAAATACATAGATACAACCTAAGCCCTATTATGCAAAACTAATTTCTCTAATTTTGTCCTCCTCTTTATCATACCAATGTCAAAATCTACAACATCAATGATAAGAATGGGACAAATTTCCCCATTCTCTAAATCCTCGAAGTCACCATCTTCATAAATGACTCGATACAAACCACATTCGTAATATACAACTTTCCCTAGAAAAACACCATTTCTAGGGAACTTCTTCAAGACATATCTACCAACCAATGCTATTGGTTTTCTTTCCACGACTTGCCTCTTCGCGTCTGGAACAGATTTTCAGTCCTTCTCATCCTCCTTTCTCCGTTTCCTCGGACGACCCCTCGATCTCGCAATAGATTGCTCCATATCGATCCTAGAATCCTACACATAGAGATACATATACAGTCTTTAAATTTGGCTCATAAACTATTAATTTTTGCCGCAAAAATGTTAGGATTAGCTCGAATCCCATAAAGGATTACAAAGCAAATTTAAGTTAACAATTCGAGTTGAAATGGAAAACCAATATCAAAATGAACATGAATAGATGAGATTCAAATGAATAAAAAATTGAGAAAACTAAAAAGCATAAGAGGGAAAGCAATTGAGAAAACGAGCCTGATTACTATACGAAAAACACCATTGAAGACATAATGAATTTTTTGCTTCAAAGGAACACGAGACGCTGAAACGAACAAGTAGAAGAACAAATGGAGAAATATAACCCTAGTAGCAATAAATGTAGAGAACGATGGTTTCTTCTGGAACGACTCAGTGAAAAAAATGAAAAACAATTGAAAAAACATGTCTGATTAATATGCGGGAAAACTCCATTAAAAACAATGAACTAATAGATTATATAGATCCATTAGTCAAATCTACTTGTTAAAATAGATTCCAATATATTTTTTTTATCTACATCTTTTATAAAAATCCTAATGAATGTCCATCCTAACAAAATGTCACATTGTCTTTAGTTAGGACCAATTACCATTGCCAAGTTAATTCTAAGCATGACCATAAACTTCCAATAATCCCGTTAAACTTTACACAAACTCCATTTCTCAATAGACCCTTTAAATTTTTAAAATTTTAAATTTCATTGCCGCAATGCACTTAACTTAAAGATACCGAGTGAAGAAGTTAACTCGGACCAGGTGGGATGTAACTCGGACGTAATGAGTCAAAAAACAAGCAACTCGTTCTCATAATATTAAATTAATAAAAAAATAACAAGAGTAGAAAAATTGGAGTATATATGCATTACGATGAATATTAAAACTCGTTCACTGAGTCGCTCCAGAAACCATCATTCTCTGCATTTTCTGCAACTAGGGTTATCTTCTTCCCCTTTGTTCCTCTGCTCGTTGTTTTCAGCGCCTCGGTTTCCGTTGAAGCAGAGAATTCATCGTCTTCATTGGTGTTCTTTGTACACTAATCAGGTTCGTTTTTCTCAATCGCTTTTCCGTCTGAAGTTTTTTAGATTTCTCAATTTCATCGATTCGTGTTCATTCCGATCTCAAATTTCGATTTCGACTTGAACTGTTGAAATATATTTGTTTTGTATTGAATCGTTTGCAGGATCCGTGTAAACCCTAACGTTTTTGTGCGAAAAATACCAATAGTTTCTGAGCAAATTTATAGGCTCTGTATTTTTCTGTATTGGAATTTAGAATCGATATCATGGAGCAGTCTGTTCCGAGATCGAGGGGCCGTCCGAGGAAACGGAGAAAGGAGGACGAGAAGGAAGGAAAATCTGTTCCGGCCGCTAAGAGGCAAGCAGTGGAAACAAAACCAATAGTATTGGTTGGTAAATATGTTTTGAAAAAGTTCCCTAGAAATGGTGTTTTTCTAGGGAAAGTTGTATACTACGAATGTGGTTTCTATCGAGTCATCTATGAAGATGGTGACTTCGAGGATCTAGAGAGTGGAGAAATCCGTCCCATTCTTATGAGTGATGCTGTAAATTTTGACGCCAGTCTGACAAAGAGGAGGACCAAATTGGAGAAATTTGTTTCACAGAATAGGGCTAAGGCTGCAGATGTGGCTGATACGGGTTCACCGAAATCCGTGAAGGAGGAATCTGCTGTTGATGTTACTGGTCCTAGTGAATTGGATGGTGGGTTATCAGTTGAAAATGATAAGGATGAGGATGCGGATGATGGAGCTGAGGATGATTTGTCAAGTGTCTCTGTTTCTGATGCCGAGACAGCGCCTTTGCCACCACCGTTGCTGTTGCCACTGTCATCTGGATCTATTGGTGTGCCGGAGCTGAGTGTCTCCCATCTTTTTTCGGTCTATGGATTTTTAAGATCATTCAGCACACAATTGTTTCTTCATCCCTTTACTTTGGATGATTTTGTTGGTTCTCTTAACTGTAAATTCTCTAACAATTTGTTTGATGCTATTCACATTTCTTTGATGCGGGTGTTGAGGCGTCATCTTGAAACCCTGTCACCCGAGGGATCTGAGCTTGCATCGCAATGCCTGAGGTAATTACTTGTTTATGCCTACTTTTTAATTTGGCAAATTTTGTGTGCTTCTAGTTTACCCATGTAGGATTTATATGTACAATTAAAATTTGTATGTTCTATGCTATTATTATTCTCTGTACTGTATCATGTTTGTTTTGAGATGATATTAAGTTTGATGTATTTATTGTAGGTGCTATGATTGGAACTTGCTTGATACATTGACTTGGCCTGTTTTTGTGGTTCTGTATTTATTGGTTAATGGGTTCACGAAAGGACCTGAATGGAAAGGGTTTTACGACGAGGTTTTTAGTGGCGAGTATTATATGTTGCCTGTAAGTAGGAAATTAGTGATACTGCAAATTCTTTGTGACGACGTTTTGGAATCTGATGAGCTTAAAACTGAAATGAGCATGCGAAAGGAGTCGGAAGTTGGGATGGATTATGATGCAGAAGATACCATTCCTGCAGAAACAGGCCCCAGAAAGGTCCATCCAAGATATGCCAGGACCTCTTTTTGTGAGGATAAAGAAGCTACAAAATTGGTTTCAGCGTCAATTGCTGTAAACCAACCTGGTTTATATTGCAGAGATACAGAAAACACTGCGGATGGGGATGCTGATAGAAATGGAGACGATTGTCGCCTCTGTGGTATGGACGGAACCCTTCTTTGCTGTGATGGGTGTCCCTCTGCTTATCATTCAAGGTGTATTGGTGTAATGAAAATGTTTATACCAGAAGGACCATGGTATTGTCCAGAGTGCAAAATCAACATGGCTGGGCCCACAATTGCAAAGGGAACCTCACTTAGAGGGGCTGTAATATTTGGAAGGGATTTGTATGGGCAGCTCTTCATGGGCACATGCGACCACTTACTTGTGTATGTTCAACATATTTCTAGTGTTACTTTAACATCTTCATTTGTTATGCTAGGATCAGTACTGGTGCTATTTTTGTAGTTAATGTAAATTGAAGTTCAATTCCATGTTCTTACCTTAGAATTGCATTTGTGCTCAATCTTTTTTTTTTTTTTTGTAGACAATCATTCCCACTATGCGCACTTACATATTTTAAGTTTAATCTTTTTACATGGACTGTTGCAGGCTTAACATTGACAACAATGAAGTTTGTCTTAGATATTACAATCAGAAAGACATCCCTAAAGTCGTCCAAGTGCTTTATGAATCCATGCTGCACAGGCCAATGTACTATGATATTTGCATGGCTGTGTTACAATATTGGAATGTGGCAGAAAAGTTCTTACCTCTCCCTGCTTCAACTGAAACAAATATAAAGGATGAGGCACAATATCCTGCTTCAACTGAAACAAATATAAAGGATGAGACACAATTTCCTGCTCCTTTACTTCCTCCTCCAAACGAAGACAACCATAAGCCTGTTAGTTTGGTCCAGGGAGAGAACTCTCCAACCACTGCAAGTTTGATTCGCAATACTAATATGGTGTCTTCTCTTGATGCTTTAGAAGTTATCACTCAAAGTCCTGCTCTTGATAGCAATGGCATTGCTAGAAGTGAAGAGGGCCTTACTATGAATAAGAACCTTGGTGAGGAAACTAGAATGGAGGCAATAATTTCAGCTGGTTCTGTTAGTCATCAGTCCAACCTGAACTTTCAGAATTCTGTCAATATGTTCACTGCTGTAGATGCCACTAAGCGCTCTTTGATAAACAGTCAATTAAGTAATTGTGTCCATGCAAATGATATGGGGTTGCCTTTGAATTTTTCTTCGCAAAACAAAGAAAATGCAAATGATGATTTTTGTTACATGGGTTTCTTCTTTAAACCCATGTCATACATAAATTACTATATGCATGGTGATTTTTCTGCGTCAGCAGCTTCCAAGTTTGCCATCGTTTCTTCAGAGGAATCTAGGTCAGAGGGTCTTGCGCCAGACAGCCAGAAGAAAACTGCAGCAGCATATACTTATATGCAAGCAAAAGCGTTCTCACTAGCAGCTTCACGTTTCTTTTGGCCTAGTTCTGAAAAGAAGCTTGTGGAGGTTCCAAGAGAGAGGTGTGGTTGGTGCATTTCCTGTAAAGCCCCTGTTGCTAGCAAGAGAGGGTGCATGTTAAATCATGCTCTTATAAGTGCGACAAAAAGTGCTGTGAAAATCCTTGCTACTTTTTCTCCTATAAGGAGTGGAGAGGGAATTCTTCCTAGCACCATTGCGACCTACCTTTTATATATGGAGAATTGTTTACATGGTCTAGTCATTGGCCCCTTCACAAATGCAAGCTTTCGAAAGAATTGGCGTAAGCAAATGGAACATGCCACAACATTTACTGCTATCAAGTCACTTCTACTCAAAGTGAGTAAATGTTCAGTTTTATTTATTATTTATTTATTTTTAATGTTATATGAGATGTCATAGTTTATTTATTTATTATAAATATGCGTTTTCCATGTAGCCGGCCCCGCTTAGTGGGGATAAGGCTTGGTTGTTGTTGTATGAATATTGCATTCTATTTTGCTGTGATGGCCTTTAGACTGTTTTGCATTTGTTAGTTAAAACTTTTCAAGTTTCCCATGTAAGATATGTTACATGCTATATAATCTCTACAAAAATAGCTTCCCAAGCTTTTGGGTGAGATAAGATGTTAGAGAGGCAAGGTACCTTCTGCAAGCATTTGCTACTGTCTTCCATTTTTTGGTAGCTTGGTGAACTCCAAGACGTATTGCCTTTTCTTTTTCTACCGAAAGAATCTAAAGTATGCAACCAAATGTCTGTTATTGCTTATAGCGAGACTGTTATTGCTCCACCAGGTTCCTATATTGACATTAAAACAAATATTCATAAATTTTGTCTGTGAGTTGTGAGGAATAATCAACTTTTCAAAGCTTATTCTGACGGAAATTTGTTTGATCCTAGTTTTTGAGGTACTTAGTTTCTTTTAATGTATTGTCAATGGAAGTAAACAAACAAGATAACAAGAAAAAATGTTGAACAAAGCTAAGCAATCATAGACTAAAACCCTGATATTGAAGCTGTAGATGCTGAGTCTTATGAGCCAGAAGATACTGAGTGACATGTTTCCTAAGGAAAACACTGAAGTGATGCCAATTATAGATCTAAATCTGATTTTCTCTAGTTTGCTTTTCTATTCCTTTTTTGAATTATGGCACTTTACAGTTCATTATCTCCTTTTATTATGAAATCCAGAGTTGGCTCAGGAGATTAAACCTCTAGCAATTTAAGGGCGACTTTGGCCTCTAATTACCTCCTGCTTTAATTGACTTTGCATGAGTAAATCTTGTATAACTTTCTGTTCATGTTTATTTTCATTTTATCCTATTGTTGAAAGTTATAAGGGTTTAGTGTTTTAGATATTAAAATAAGAAAGTTAGAGATTAATGACTACATTATCGCTATCTGATCGAGATTCAAATTGTGAATCGGAAAATCAAGTTTACTAAATGTGAATTAAATCATATATAGATTTAAAACTAGGTTGTCTATAGTGCGCTATAGCACCGCTATAGTGGCATAGCGTGGCGGTGGCGGCTCGGCCCCTCACCGCTATGCTATTGGCCTTCGAAGCTCTATCGGCGATAGCGATTTCATAGCTGCGCTATTTTGGCGCGATAGCAGTGCCGTCGCGGTTTGATGACCGCTATTCTTTTGAGCAATAACTTAATAACTAGTCAGAATTATGAATTTTCAGAACTTTATTTTGAACAACTGAGCTTTTAAGTTGATATTTCATTTTCTTACTTTTATTAAGTTTTTATGTTATGCAGCATGCCTTTTTCTATGTGCACGACTGATAATTTATTTATTTCAACTGTTCTGTGGCTTCAGCTATTTGTCCGGAAACTATCCCCTATTATACATAGGGGATTTTTGGCCTTCCTCTATTTCTGCTATTGAAAACATTTAGTGTCATTTGCTGCCTTTGAGATTTCCTGTTATCTTGGTTAGAAGTTGATCCAGCTTTATGTTAAAATCTCTGTAGGGTTTTGTATGTGTATTTTAATCCTTGTCGAATAGATTTATTATCAAGCATGTGTTAAAAATATCTTACATGATATTTCTTGCTTGTGCTATGTGAGCAACATTGGTAGTTCATATTTTAGCTCCTAATAAATTTTCATTTTCAGCTTGAGGAGAACATTCGAATCGTTGCTTTTTGTGGCGACTGGGTTAAGCTGATGGATGATTGGTCGGTCGAATTTCCCATTATACAAAGTGCCACATCTACTCTTGGAACAATTCAGAAACGTGCACCAAGTGGGAAGCGTTGTAAAAAGAAGTCATCTATTGATGAAGCTATAGTTAATGTTTCTAAGGAAGGTATGTGGTGGCGTGGTGGGAAAGTTACCAAGTATATTTTTCAGAGTGCTGCTTTGCCGAAATCCATGGTCAGAAAAGCAGCCCGCCAAGGTATTTTATTTTCAATCACATAAATTACCCGAAGGGGTCTAGCTGAGCTTTGCTAAAATTAACTTTTTTGGGGTTGTAAAACCAATCTCTAAAATTGGCTTGGATTGATTTGAATTATGATTTTCTTTTTTCTAGTTTTAATATACCAAATATTTTGCAATTTAATTAATATTTATTGAATGTGAAATTATGTATATATAATTAGTTATGAGCCTTCAAGCTCAGTATTAGGTGGTCACTATCTCATATTTAAGTGTTATTCTATACTAATATGATATTATTTATGTTCTAAACAAGTTTAGCTGAGCCTACTGTGCCTGTTGAATTGTTCAACATATGTCTCCCCTACATACACTAAAAGAATTTTCCAGTTTTTTCTTATTTATGGTAATTTATCACCTTAATTTCTATTTATTGTGGGTAACAGGTGGTTCTAGGAAAATTTCTGGTATTGTATATACTGATGGCTCTGAAATTCCCAAAAGAAGTAGACAGCTTGTTTGGAGAGCCGCAGTTCAAATAAGTAGGAATGCCTCACAGCTGGCACTCCAGGTTCCCTATAATAGTTATTTGTTTTATATCTCGCATTAGTGAATTTTGTTTGGCAATAAGTTTATTGGACCTTACAAGCCCTGTAACTTGATTGCATTTGGTTGTTTTCATCAGGTCAGATGTCTAGATTCTTATCTTAGATGGAGTGATCTGATTCGTCCAGAGCAGAACATACAGGAAGGGAAAGGTCAAGAGACTGAAGCTTCTGCTTTCCGAAATGCAAATATTTGTGACAAAAAACTTGTAGAGGGAAAAGTTTGTTATGGAATAGCTTTTGTGAGCCAAAAGCATCTTTCTAACCGGGTGATGAAAAGCGTTGTTGAAAAAGAGCAATGTCCATTGGGAAAAGAAAAGTATTGGTTTTCTGAAACTCGCATTCCTTTATATTTGGTAAAAGAGTATGAAGAAGGTAATGAAAAGGTTCTATGTGAAGAGCAGTATAGTAGTGCATCTCAGTTGCACAGAAGGCGGTTGAAAGGTACCTGCAAAGGCTGCAATGACATATTCTTTTATCTCGTTTGCAAGAGAGACAACTTGGCATTCTCGTGCTCTTCATGTCGGATGGGCATTTCAATTCGGTAATTACCCTTAACTTGGTACTCTATCACTAAAGCATTTTTCCTCTATGCTCCTGTTTTCTTCATGACCATAATCTTATCTACCATTATTTCAGGAATGCTCACAAGTGTAATGCATGTCAAGGTATGTACCTCACGCATGACCCATCATCGTCCTTACCTACTATTATCATGATTTGCTAACACTAAGTTAATCTTGACGTGAAAATCACATGTAGTTTCTGAAAAAATAACCATTATTTGCTATATGATAGAATTCAGTTAGATACACGCTTCAACAAAAACACAACACTTGTATTGTTGTTTAAAATTTAAAAATCCAATACGAAAAATAAAGGATGTGAATTTAAATTTATTCTGTATATTTGCTTTTATATATATATATATATATATATATATATATATATATATATATATATATATATATATATATATATATATATATATATATATATATATATATATATATATATATATATATCATTCTAATTCATGAGTGTATCTTGTTTTATATATATATATATATATATATATATATATATATATATATATATATATATATATATATATATATATATATATATATATATATATATCATTCTAATTCATGAGTGTATCTTGTTTTATATATATATATATATATATATATATATATATATATATATATATATATATATATATATATATATATATATATATATATATATATATATATATATATATATATATATATATATATATATATATATATATATATATATATATATATATATATATATATATATATATATCATTCTAATTCATGAGTGTATCTTGTTTTAATATTTTGTTCCATATGGCCATTAGGATATTGTCACGAGGACTGTTCAATAAGCTCAGTCTTGAGACTCTCTACAAATGGGAGAGTTGAGTGCTTGACCACATGCAAACGATGTCACCATGCAAAGTTACTTGCTCCAAATGTAACTAGCAATGAATATCCAACCAGTCCCTTAATCTTACAGAGACAGGAGACCAGCACTGGGACTGGGATTATTTTTAAGGGACCAAGGCCAAAGGCCGGTCATTCTGATGTGAAACAAGTCAATTCCATGTCAGGTTTGAAAGGATCTAAGCGTAAATCTCAAGATCAAACTTCGACTTCTACCAAGAAAAAGAATAGTCATCCTGACTCAAAACAAGCCGTTTCTGATTCTACTTTGGCATCAAGCAACCGTCGCAACAATAATTGTTCTTGGGGTATAATATGGAAAAAGAGAAGTAATGAAGATACAAACATTGATTTTAGGACAAAAAACATATTATTAAAGGGAGGATCAGACATACCTGATTTGTATCCTGTTTGTCACTTATGCAAAAATGACTATAGGTCAGATCTAATGTATGTTTGCTGCGAGACATGCCAAAGTAAGTTTTTCTGTAGTAAATAATAATAAATGATTGACAAAAAATTTAAGTGTTCGCACTCATCTGACTTCTGTGTTTGGCTTTCTCAGATTGGTATCACGCTGAAGCTGTTGAACTCGAAGAATCCAAAATTTCGGATGTGTTGGGCTTCAAATGTTGCAAGTGTCGCAGGATAAAATCACCTGTTTGTCCTTACGATGCAAAACCAAAATCAGAAGTTAAGAAATCACGCAGAAAGGCTTCAAAGAAACAACATTCTGGACCTGATTCTGATTCTGGAGCATTTAATGATATGAGAGAGTCTGAGCCTGCTACTCCTGTGTTTCCTGTGGAGAATGATCCTTTACTTTTCTCTCTTGCAAAGGTTGAGCTGATTACAGAACCTAATCAGTTAGATTCGGATGTTGAGTGGAACACTCTCTCTATGCCAGGGCCTCAGAAATTACCCGTGAGAAGGCATGTTAAGCATGAGGGAGGTGGTGATGGTTCTGTTTCAGAAATACCTTTTCATGATGAATTTTCAACATATAGTGAAGCAGGCAATCTGTCCAATCCTGCAGATTCGATATTACCTTTAGAATACGACTCTGCTGTTTTTGACAGCAATCTGCTGAGCAACTCTGAATTTGTAAATAATGATGACAACATGTTCAACGATAATACTATCTTCGACGTAAATGACCTGCTGCGCTCAGATGATAGCCAGATTGGTGAAGGTGATGTGACTGGGGAATTATTGGGCTACAACATGGACCAGAATAATGAAGGTGATGTGCCTGGGGAATTTTTGGGATACAACATGGAGAATTCTGGTACCCCCTTTTCCTGAAGAATTTGGAGATGGCAGTTTTTTCTGTGCTAAATGTTTACAAACTGAACCTGGCCCTGAGTTTTTTTGTGAGACTTGTGGGGTTTTGTATCATGGTCATTGTTTGCCTTGGCCTGAATCAGCATCCGACCCTTTACATTGGACGTGTCAAACTTGTCGGGATTGGCAATAACATCTAGGCATGTCATCCTGTGGAGCTTTTCTGCTGCTGGATTTTGGAAGTTGTTTTAGCAGAGGTGGCGAGTTCGAGAAGAATGTTGGATTGACAATCATCGGAGCTGAGTCAATGAATCATGTATGGATTGGTTGCAGATAGCTGTAGCATTTGGGGGAAAATTTATTTTGTGCACTTTGAGCGTTAGTTGGCTTCCTGGGTGCCTAGATGGACCCAATTTTGTGAAACACAAATCGAATGGTATGGTTTTCAGTCTGCAGTTTTTGGTTTGCTTTGATACTATCCGACCATGGTATATTGGCTGATTTTATTCTCTTGTCCGCACATTGGATTGTTTTTCCAATTTTACAATCCACAAATTGTCTGATGATAGAGAGAAGCAGGTTTTTCCAAGTATGGTGCTTTTCTCGCACAATAATTATTTGTATAGATTAGAAATACTCATTTTTTGAGTTTGGGGTAGATGAACAAGCTGCACTCTATTGAAAAAGGAGTTTCTATACTGCATTCATATTCACTGACAATGAAGCTCAAGTAACTAGTAATTATTCATTTAATTACCCGTTGTTTGACTCGTCTTACTCCAGCGAGTCTGCAATGCTTGCTGTATTGATGTCCTTTGTCAACACTATCGAAATAGGTACAGCTCAAACCTGTATTGGTTAAGAAGCTCTTTATAGCGTCAATTATAATTTTTCTAAATGAGTAACTCAGTTGTTGGAAATTGAACTGAATTATTTCTCTTAAGATAAATTGAATTAAATTGGTTTGATCTGTAAAAAAAATCTCTGTTTATTTTGTTTCCATTGGTTTTAATCTCCATGTTTTTTCGTTTTCTTTTTATTAATATATCGTGTCTTACATATAGTTGTAAATAATAGGGATGCTAACTTTGGGGTTTTAGATACTAGTGATGTTTTTGCACACTAATTTTGCTAAAAAAAGTTTTTATTCAATTTTAATTTAGAATCAATCTACCTAAAATAAAACAGTTTGTTTGGACAAAACCACGAAGACTTTTGGTCAATATGCTTTAGGTATTACGTAAATTTTTTACAATGTGATAAACCAATAAGGTTGGGGTTTAAGAAGTTTCCTCTTTTATTTTCTTGTCAAAACTTTCCACTCGCTAGCCAACTAAGGTTACAATATGATCATTTTGATTCCTTATAATTCCACGTCAAGAAGGAATATTTAAACCATGAAAACTATAACAAACAATTTATAATAATTCTCAATCTAGAGCTTGTAACAGAAAATCTAAATCTAGTGCACAACATAAAAGGCTTGTTTAACAAAGGTAAATCACAAAATTCATTCAGATTTTTAAAGGGGATTCCGACTCTGTTGCTCACCTAGCACGGTGAAATTTCAATAATATTCATAAAATTTAAATTTCAAAATTCATATGAAAAAAAAAAACTAAATAGAAGATGTAGAGGAAAAAAACATTTGAAGATTGGAATTCGGACCGGACCTGTCTCTCACCACTTCACACCCATATTTCAGAGCAAGACCAAAAAAACGCTTAAATAATTTGGATTTCAATCTCCGTAATTTTTATGGATTCCAATCTCTGAATTCATTTGATTTATAACTTCGCGTCAAATCTTTTCCTCTTTCTTTTTCATTTTACAAACTTACTTAGAACCTAAAATAAAGCTCATGAGGAAATTTCATTTTCACTATCTTTTGAACTTTCTTGCTACTTCTGGTGCCTTACATTTAAGTCTAGGACATCACATAATCTCTACTCCACTCCATTCAATCAAAGTTTCTCATTTTTCAAGCTCTCTTACAATTTAGTAAGTTTTTTCATTTTCCTTTTTTTTTTGTGATGAATGCATTACTTAAATAAGTTGTTTATGATTTATTAGGCTGTATTTAAAAGCATAATAAGTTGATTTGTGATGCATGTATTTGCATTTTTCTTCTTCTAGTTTAGAGCTCAGATTTTGCTCTGTTACTTCTCTAGTTTTATTTGGATATTGGAATCCAAACCATGAGTCAGAAGAAAAAAATTTAAATTTTCCTCTTCTCTACTGTTTGTTTGATTTAGCATGTTATGCCCTTTGGATTTTGATTCGTTGATTATGATATGATTTTTTTGGTGTACTTATAAGTAAAATATCTAACAACTAAGACAATTGAGGTATGATAGAACGATCCAACATACTTTTGTTTGGAGGAAAAAAGCTAGACACTTTCGTCCAACCATTGATGCCACTTTATTTGATGCAAGAACATCATTTTTTGAAGTTCACGTGTCTCCAACATCTTCCTTCCGGAGACATGAGTTCCATATTGTTGTCTGTAACGCCCCGAATTCTAGATTAATTATTTATTTAATTAATTTAGCGTGAATATATGAGTCATTGTGAAGTATTTGAAATATATATATATATATATATATATATATATATATATATATATATATATATATATATATATATATATATATATATATATATATATATATATATATATATATATATATATATATATATATATATATATATATATATATATATATATATATATATATATATATATATATATATATATATGATATTTTGGTGTTTTTATGCGAGTCCTTGTGATGATTTATGATTTTTCGATGAATATAAGATATACTATGATATTGAGATGAATTTGGTGTTTAATATGATGATTTGTGTGGTATGTGATGGGGTAGTGGTGAATTAAGAGATGATAGAGTATTTTAGTAATTTTGAATAATTAATTTTAATTGTTTAAAATTATTATTAATTAAATAAATAGATTAGTGGTGTAGAGAAAATAAGATCAAGGTGGTAATTAGTGAAAAGTTAAGTGAGGGCAATGACGGAGAGTTCATTATTAGGGGTCCAAGGGTTAAGTAAGACAAAAGGGAATTGGAATTTTAGAAATGCTCATTCTACGTGATTGTAAGAATTTGAAGAACGCTTTGGAGAAAGAAAGCTATGGCACGTAGAGGCAAAGAGAAATTGTAGAACGCGAAGAGGAATCAGAAGCTAGCAATAGTCTTAAGGTAAAAGATGTTTATCTTGATTATTATAATTGATTTAAGGTCTAGATAATTGTAGGCGGTGTTGAATTTTGGTGATTTGATGATTGTGTTGTAATTGATGGATTTGTGTTGAAATAGGTGAAAAGATCTTGTGGAAATCGCCACGAGTTTGTGTATATAATACCTATAATGTTGTATGATTATTATATAATGATTTGGTGTTGAAAAACATGTGGATTAGGACTAAATAGTGCATAACCGCAGAAGAAGAATTGCACTCTGCTATGCGTCGCCGGGCGGTGAGGAGTGTCGCTGGGTGATGCTGTCGTCGCTTGGTAGTCGCCAGGTGAAACGCGAAGCGATGAAGGGCAAAGAAGAGGAATGTTACTGGGGGGTGTCGGTCGTACCATCTCCAGGCGATGCAGATGCGAGAAGCAGGTCGCCAGGCGAGCAAAGTGCTTCGTCGAGCGATGGTGTCTAAAATAGAATAGGTGGGTGTCACTCCCACATTGCTGGACGAGATGTAGGCGACGAACAATAGTAGGGTTTTCAGAAGGACATAACTTGAGGTTTAGAATTCGGTTTGAGGTGTAGTTCGAAGCGTTGGATAGCTAACACAATGAACTTTAATTAGATGGAATAAAATGAGTAATAAGAAGCATATTTCCAGTACTCAAGTTAGGATGAAGTTAGATTTCCCGTGTTGGATTATAATGATGCTTTGTTTATTATGATGATATGATGATGTTATGATGATGTTTTGTTTATTATGATGATGTAATGATATTGTGATGAATTCAGGATGATGGTGCATTTTGACTAGTTGTAGTCGTGTTTATTATATTGTTGTGCATCATGCACTCATGGCATATTGTAGGACTTCGGTCCAGTGATGTTTTGCAGGATATTGATCCAGTGATGTATGTAGGACGTTATGATCCAGTGATGGACTCAATCCCATAGTGCGGATCAAGTGCAATTTTGTGAAGTGCTCTGGTTCCAAGTGAGAACCGATCCTATTGGTGGGAACCTTTGGAGATAACGATGAATGAGTCATCAGTGAAGTTTTGATACCACATGCATGAGTCAGCTGAAGTGCATTTGCATTGTATGGGACATTGCATAAGGATTGATTACATGATGGTGATAATGCGATGCTAATTGTGATGTTTGATGACGTGCATTGACATGACGATATAATGACGTGTTTAATATGAGTATATGATGGTGTGAGTATAACATGAGGATGTAACGATGTGTTGTTTCTTGTCGTTGTACCATAACTACTATACTTATTCCTCATGTCTTTTATAATGATTATAATTTACTCACCCTTTATATTTGAATGTTTCCTCCACGTAGGTAACATGTAGGTGGTCGCGAATAGCTAGTAGAAGCCCAGAGGATAGCTTCAGAGTGCATTTATTTTCTTTTCGTTGAATAAATATGGTCTTTCTCTGATATATAACATCAGGGTTGGGATCAGTTGGTTCTGAACTATGCATGAGTTTGTTATGTTGAAATTTTGCATTTCTTTCATGAATTTTTCCATGTTTTGGATCATGATGTTATAGACATGAAGTGTGACGATTTTATTAACATTTGAACTACCTTTCATGGTATTGAGATTATTTTATGAAGAAGTTTAAGACTTATTAATTCTGCTTCAAATTTTGAAATGAAATAGTTGTGATACTAAATATGGATGGAAACAGGGCGGGTCGGGGGTGGGTTTAAGCACACCCAGACCCACACCCGCCACCCAGACCCACACCCGCCCCCGCCCCAAACCTGGTAGATAACTACGGATGAAAAGGGTGCTAACACCTTCCCTTTTTATAACCTACCTCCCGAATAAAATCTCAAAGGTCTTTCGTGTTATTTTCACCCTTTCCTTTTGGATAAAAGAAAAGTCGTTGGAAACTCTTGCTATCCACAATATTGTGGTAAAACACAAAGTCAAGTCTGTTCTCCCACCGTGTTACAA